TGCAAGAAATCACCAGCAAAAGCAAAGTGAGAAGATTATGGCAACTGAGGCAGCTGGAATGATTACCAGAGAAATACACTCAGTTGAGAGATGACTTTGCACACTTTGGTGATGTTATCGACACTTTGGAAGTGCTCTGCACCTTGGATCTCTGATCTATTATTTATCAACCATGATCAAATGGTGGAGCAGACTCAATGGGCTGAATGGCCTAATTCTGCTCCTATATCTTATGGTATTGTGTTTCGACTTTCAGAGGTTAGGAACAAGATAATCATGAGTAACAGCAGGAGAAGCAAAATGGGCAGTGATACAGTTTGCAGTTTCATAGGAGGACTTATCCTGCACATAGGGTCTACAAGCAGAGGATAAACTTACATCGACATGTTGGGGCACCAGTGTTTGAGGAGATTCCAGTTGTCACATCAGGTTGTAGGAGTTATTTGCAGCCCACTGGAACCAAACCTGTTGTCAACAGGACCTGGTGGCCACAAGTGGCGGTCAATGTCATCACAGCTTTAAACTTTCTTTTTGCCTCTGGATCCTTCTAGAGTTCATCATGAGACATCTGTAGCATTGTGTAGTCAGTGTAAGATTTGTCACTGAATTATACTTTGCCAGGCTGGCAATTTTGCCAAATTTGCCTGTGGTGACACCAGTCAGAAAGACTGTTTAAGTTTGCAATTCTGCCTGGCTTCCGTAGGTGCAGGGCTGCACTGATATATGGCAAGAAGCATCTGTACATCACTGAATACAATTTGTTAACTTCAAAGATTTGAACTTCTTCTGCAGTGGTTTTTTGAAAAAAATTCATTCATGGTATGAGGGTGTCACTAGCTAGGCCAGCATTTATTGCCCATCCTTAATTGCCCAGAAAGTCAACCACTTTGCTGTGGGTCTGGAGTCACGTGGAGGCCAGACCAGGTAAGGATGGCAGTTTCCTTCCCTAAAGGACATTAGTGAACCAGATGGGTTTTACCAACAATTGACAATGGATTCATAGTCATCATTAGATGCTTAATTCCAGATTTTTATTGAATTCAAATTCCACTGTCTGCCATGGCTGGATTTGAACCCAGATGCCCAGAACATTACTCGGGTCTCTGCATTAACAGTTCAGTGATAATACTACTTATGAAATCACAACCAAAAGCAGATCTTTATGCAGATCTATGCAAGATTCCTAGACTGCAGTCCACCTGGGCAGGCATCATTGTGCCTAGTAGAGAGTTACCCAGATGGGATACTGACTGAAAACCTGCTTGATGCCAACTCTCAAATACTTGGGGAAAGCGGCCTCTTATTATCTGGTGAGAAGGGATGAACTAGCTTGCCCTGGATAAGTCTTCTTGGTTGGTCACAACAAAGGTTTGAATTATTTTTTGGATGAGGCTATGCCTCCTTCAAATTAAAACGTACTTGACTAATTTTTTTTACGGTAAGTAATAAGGAGCCAATTACAATGTTTTATTTAGTTAGTGAAATAATATATTGATTACCTGGCTGATCCAAGAAAAACAATGAAGATGTAACATTAAGCATATGGCCTTTGTGCAGTCACTTTGTGCAGAAGCTAGGAATACTGCAGCATGTAACTCACCTCCTGACTCCCCAAAGCTTGTCCACCATCTGCAAGGCACAAGTCAAGAGTGTGATGGAATACTCCCCATTTGCCTGGATGAGTTCAGCTCCAACAACGCTCAAGAAGCTTGACACCATCCAGGACAAAGCAGTCCGCTTGATTCTCACTACATCCACAAGCATCCGCTCCTCCACCACCGAAGATCAGTAGCAGCAGTGTGACCTATCTACAAGATGCACTGCAGAAATTCACCAAAGATTCTCAGACAGCACCTTCCAAACCTGTGACCACTTTCATCTAGAAGGACAAGGGCAGCAGACATATGGGAACAACACCTCTTCCAAGTTCCCCTCCAAGTCACTCACCATCCTGACTTGGAAATATATTGCCATTCCTTCACTGTTGCAGATCAAAATCCTGGAATTCCCTCCCAAAAGCATTGTGGGTCAACCTACAGCTGGTGGTTTGCCGTGGTTCAAGAAGGCAGATCACCACCAACCTCTCAAGGGCAACTAGGGATGGGCAAGAAATGCTGGCCAGCCAGAGACACCCACATCCCACAAATGAATCAAAAAACAATCCCTGGGCCCTTACACACGCGCGCACACGTGCACACACACACGTGCACACACACGCACGCACACGTAAAATGTTTGCAAGACACGTGAGATGTTGGGGGAATGGCAGAGTGGACCAGAATATCATGGGGAGAAACTGCATACAGTTCTGGTCGCCACATTACCAAAAGGATGTGGATGCTTTGGAGAGGGTGCAGAGGAGGTTGACCAGGATGTTGCCTGGTATGGAGGGCGCTAGCTATGAAGAGAGGTTGAGTAGATTAGGATTATTTACATTAGAAAGACGAAGGTTGAGGGGGGACCTGATTGAGATCTACAAAATCATGAGCGGTATAGATAGGGTGGATAGCAAGTAGCTTTTTCCCAGAGTGGGGGACTCAATTACTAGGGGTCACGATTTCAAGGTGAGAGGGGAAAAGTTTAAGGGAGATATGCATGGAAAGTTCTTTACGCAGAGGGTAGTGGGTGCCTGGAATGCGTTGCCAATGGAGGCGGAAGAGGCGGGCACGATAGCGTCATTTAAGATGTATCTAGACAGATACATGAATGGGCAGGGAGCAGAGGGATACAGATCCTTGGAAAATAGGCGACAGGTTTAGATAGAGGATCTGGATCAGTGCAGGCTTGGAGGGCTGAAGGGCCTGTTCCTGTGCTGTAATTTTCTTTGTTCTTTGTTCTTGAAATGTCCCTCTGGAATGCTGACAGATTCTGTAACACTCAGCAAAAATTATTCTGATCAAAAAAAGGATTCATTGAGAAGGATGAACCATACATGATTAACAAAGGTGCTTAGAAAAGTATCCAATCAAAAACTAAGGCATACAAAACTGTGTAAACTAGTGATAGGCTAAAGAATGATTAAAACGATGATAAAAAGGAAGAAAATTGATCATAAAAGTAAATTGGCTAGGAATATATAAAAATAAACATCAAAACTTCTCCAGGTACAGAAAGGAAAGAATAGCTAAAGTGAATGTGGCAACGTTGGAGGATGTAATGGGGGAATTCATAATGTGGAGCAAGGAAATGGCAGATAATTTAAATCAATAATTTATATTGATTTTCACAGTGGAAGACACTATAAACATCCTAAAGATATCAGATAAGTAAAGTGTTAATGGGAAGTAAAGTCTTGTAACAGTGCCTTTGTAATGAAGGAGAATTTATTTCATAAACTAATGGGACTCGGATTGGGGGTAGGGTGGAAGAGGAGGGGGCAAATGCAGACAAGTCTTCAGGACCTGATGGTCTGAATCCAATGGTTTTAAAGGAATTGGCAGCAGAGGTGACATTGGTCAGAATATTCCGTGACTCACTGGATTCCCAGCAGATTGAGAAATTGGTGATGTGATACTCCTGTACAAGAATAGAAGGAAACAGAAAGCAGGAAACTATAGGCCACTTAGATGTTAGGCTATCCTGGGGAAAATGCTAGAGACCTTCATTAAGCAAGAAATCACAGGACATTTAGAAAAGCTTAACACAATGAAAGAGAGTCAACATGGGTTTATGAAAGGAAAATTGTGTTTGACAAGTTTTCTAGAGTTCTCTGAGCATATTTGGATTTTCAGAGAGCATTTGTTAAGGTTCTGCATAATAGGTATTGCACAAGATGCTTTGGGGGTAATATATTAGCATGGATTGAGGATTAGTTACCATGCACCTTCTGCAATATAAGTTCATATCATCAGCATTGTACTAAAGTAAGCTTGAAAGGGTAGAGTGAAGAGATAATGCTCATCAGAATGTAGGTGAATAGATCATCGCTGTCCCTTTCCTGCTCCGCTTAGGTTATTAAACCACTTGCTACATTGTGACCAGCAGGGACATTTCATGTGCCACATCTCATGTGTTTCCTTAGTGTTCCCAGTGGCTTCCCTCATTGATTTTTAAGGAAGAAGATACTCTTTCAGGTCATTATAACCTCCAGTAGCACACATAGGAAGACATCACTGAAATGAGGTGCCACTTAATCTTTTGGTTTTCACTCTTCCTAATCTTTGGATTCAAATTATGTTTGAATTAGAACTGGAATTGAAATCATATAATGCAGGTGACCATCACTTCAATTGATGATAAATGACTGGAAAACCCAGGAATCATGTGATAATATAGTAGCTCAGATAAAGTGCAACGACTGATGTTACCAGACTCCTGAGTTCCGAGCATCATACAAACCTAACATCCATCCCTATATATTTCATGATAAGAAAATCCATCCAAAATTTTGAATATCTATTTTTGTGGGAAGCAAGCACATTGAGTACTGATGTGAGATAACCAGGCAAGTTATACTAAACTGAGAACAATTTTAAGCAAGATAAAAAATGAACTGAATCATGCATAACATATTTTTATTGTTTTAAAAAATCCCTTTTCATCAATGAATTGTTTGTTCACGTTCATTTTGCCATACTGCTGCTATCTGGTGAAGGAAAGACACTATTAGAACATACAGAAGAAAGGTCTGGGACAATCAATTCACTGCTGTATCCTTCCTCTCCGTAAGTGATTAGTGAGTTTCCAGTCTGCACTTCTTCCTGAATTACACGTTCCAAAACATGCATCAATTCTCCACACCACAGCATCCCAGAAAGCAAACACATCAATTCAAACTTTTTCTTTGTAGGTATATTGATTTGTGAATAAGTTAGCTATTTAATCACCCTACCATTCAGCATATGCAGGCTATGCTGCCTCAATTAAACTGTTATCATTTGAGTTAATGGATCAACAAGTCACACTGTATCACACTTGGAGTTTTCTGTGAGAGGATTATTGCTTATAGCACATACAGATAGAAATGGCCACAAGAGGAGACTTTAAACAGATTTCCTTACCTTTGACAAATACATAGATCTTGGATTTAAGATTTTCAGTGTCTGCAGGAGTGGCATATTTACAAATATAGCTTCCAGTGTCAGTGCGATGAGCCTTCCTTAAAGTCATGGTACTGCAAAAATACTTCTGCTCGTCATCACACCTATAGTTGGTTATGTTTAATCTGTTTTTTGTAGAATTTGGTAGGTTGGGTCCAGACCAGTTCAAGGATGCTTGGCCCCTGTTGATAAACCACAATAATCAAAATGAATAAGGTGCTTTATACTGGGTGTGGATCTTTGCTGTCCCTTTATGAAACTGCAAACTCACTTGAAAAGACAACAGGTCATATGAGATATGGCCATGGTCTTGCACAAAGAGAAAAATTGTATGCCTTGTCATACACTCATTATCTGGTGATTATCACATTGCTGTTTATGGGAGCTCACTTAGTTCAAATCGACTGTCACATTTCCAATTGTACAACAGAACTCCATTGGCTGCAAAGCACTTGGAAATATCTGATGGTCATGAAAAGCACAATATGAATGCAAGTCCTTTATCTTATAAATATCTCATTTGCATAGACCTCAATATTGACTGCAACCATTAGTGCAAGAAGTAAAATTACATCGCTGCGGGCCTGGTTTACTGGTCCACATTCCCTGAAAATGGAAATTGCCCATCATAACTTTTGGAATGCTGTAGTTATACATGCAGACATTCTGATCCAGCAGTATCCTACAGGTTTCAGAAGTGAATCTTCAATTAGTCTAATATTTAAGAGAGAAGTGTGATCAAGTCATTGGCAGTGCTCCTTAATGTTTTCCAAATAGAACCCATGGCATCTTTAATGTCCAGTTGAACACCAAACAAGAGCTTGGTTTAACATCTCCATGAAACAATGGAGCACACCTTCAGTGTCATGTTACATTGCAGCCATTGTTATGCATCCAGTTGAGCATAGATGTCTCAGAGGTTTATCGGATTGGAAAAGATTACAGATTTGGGGACGATGTGTGACCATGGCCTGATTGAAAACAAAGATGAAAATTTTAGAAAACACTTGCCCGTTTACTTCCTCCCACCTTACTATCCAAATCTCTACACACACTGCAGTGCTCCAGTGAGCAGCAACACAAGCTGGAAGAATAGCATCTCATTTTCCACCTGGGGACTCTGCAGCTTCAGAACTCAATATTGAGTTCAATAACTTTAGGGCTTGAGCACTTTCCATGTCCATTACCCACTCTCACACACCAGGCATTGTTATCATATAAGTCGAAGAGGCGGGGATGGGGCCAGGAAAGGTGAGTGTAGGTAGGGAGTTAGGAAGGGGATAGGTCAGTCCAGGGAGGACGGACAGGTCAAGGGGGCGGGATGAGGTTGGTCGGTAGGAGATGGAGGTGCGGCTTGAGGTGGGAGGAGGGGATAGGTGGGAGGAAGAACAGGTTAGGGAGGCAGGGACGAG